CACATCCACACACTGATGATGGCAAACTACACTGTAGCCACAGCTGCCCTGGGGCACACTGACAGATGCTAATGACCACAAAGACTATGTAAAAAAAATGGAGGAAGGGCTTGGAAGAAGCATATGCCATTGCAAATGAGAATGCAAATAAAGCTGCAAAAAAGAGCAAAAGATAGTATGACACAAAAGTGAGGAGCTCTGTTTTACAACCAGGCGAGAGAGTTCTGATTAAAAACTTGACAGCAAGAGGAGGCCCAGGGAAAATAAAAGACTACTGGGAAGACACCATTCATACAGTAGTCAGACAAATGGCGCCTGACCTCCCCATCTACGAGCTGAGACCGGAAGGAGGCAAAGGTCGCTCAAGAGTGCTTCATAGAAACTTACTCATGTCATGTGACCACTTGCCTTTTGAACAGGAGGGAAAAAAAGGCAATCCTACAAAACACAAACAGAAAAGGACTGATAAAGCCATCCCAGTTGTGGCAGGCTCTGACGATGAAGACAGGGGTGATGAATCCCACTATCAATTTGTACCTCCTGGGCCTTTTGTGTCTCAACCATCAGAACCAGAACCCCCCACAGTGACACCTCAGCTTCCAGCTCCAGCTCTTGCTGTTGCATTACCACCAGAGCCCCCTGCTGGAGATCATCTGGAGGTGACTAATCCAGCTGCCGTGGAAAAAACTCATGAGAATGCAGAACCTGCTGCTGGTGACCTAGGTGCCCCTCCTTCACCTACTGGATCTGAGGGACACGAGGAGGAGACACTGTAAAGGCCACAGCAAAAGAGACACCCGCCGAGACGGATGACGTATGACCAACTGGGTACTCCATCCTGCTATAGTGTCCAGCCAGCACCACACCTGCTTCCCGTGTACTTAGGTCTGGTCCCATGGCTTCCAGCTCAGCCGTGCTACACCCAGCCCATTGGTTTGTATGGAGTCCAGCAAATATAAGTTGACCATTTTCCAATGATGACGCAAAAACTGTACTTTCAGACTGTCATCAAAACAAAGATTTTTCTTTCTCCCTATGGATTATGATAAACTGTTTTCGCAAAGACTCACATATGGACTTGTTATAGAACCAGTCATAGACTGTGGAGAGGACACAAGCCCATGGGATTGAGGCATATGGTTGGCTTCACAGTTATATATTGACTATAAGGGCAGATGGACTGCAAAGTAATTTGATGGTATTATGTCGGGACGACATTTTTCAGGGGAGAGTGTGATGGATTGAAACAGCACACAGTATAATCACATTCTGTAACACAGTGACTGAACTGAGATTTTATTGATTTAAAAATGATTTCATGTTAAAATGTTTTGTTTTGTATTTGGGAACAAGTATGAGAATATGAGCAAAGTTCCTAACAGTTATTGTTAAAGTTGAATACAGTAACAGCAYTGCTAATTTTATGATGATTATGAGCGTCAATTGTTCTGCTGATCAGCTAGTGAGCCTGAGGCTCTGTTGCTCTGGGATCGATTATCTTGCCTACCACTGGGGGGATTGCGCCATTTTCCTCATTGCAATAAACTCACTGCATGAGGAAACATTGCTAACAATCACTCTCGTGATTCTTTCCACCCTAATTCAGGTAATGTTTTATGTAATGGACAGTTGATGCTGTGCACAATTGTGAGATATGCTATTGCATGTTTTACGATAGTTTGTGAAGGAAAAACTTAAGTTTATTGTTATTTTAAAGTTGCTTTTATGTCGCCACGTGCCGTGGGGTGAAGCACACGCTCATTTTCCCCACTAGGAGGTGCTAAAGCTAATGTTTGTAAAAATCAACATTCAAGCTGCATTTATAGTTTTGATTTAGAGGTTTTATACCAAGTGTGTTATATTATTGTACTCTTTATAGAGTCAGACATTTAACAAAAGGACAGAAAGAATGTTTTGTTATATTTTTGTTATTTTTGTTCATGTCATTGCAATAAACTCACTGCATGAGGAAACATTGCTGACAATCACTCTCGTGATACTTTCCACCCTAATTCAGGGGTACAACATTAACCCTTAATCCTGAGCCCTCATGTTAACCACAGACCCTAAAATTAACCATTAATCCTGATCCCTCATGTTCACCACAGACCCTAAAGTTAACCATTAATCCTGAGCCCTCATGTTAACCACAGACCCTAAAAGTTAACCATTAATCCTGATCCCTCTGTTAACCATGATTTATGTAAATAAAYGATCTCATTTATTACTTGATCAAACCGAATTCACTGAGTTACGTTCAGTTTTCTGTTTTTCATTCACTTTGCACAGAAGAGATATTTCCTTAAAATAAGAGAACCCGTGATAAATAATTTCCTTGTAACTTTAGTTATAAGAGGTGTAGTTGAATCCTGCAAAACCTTCAGAGTTGAGTTGATTTGGAGGCTGACACATTTAGTCTGATTCTCTGCTGTCTCACCTGAGAAGTTTTTCAGAGCTTCAATCTTCTCTGCCAGGTTTTGATTCCTCACAAGCAGATCTGTTGAGAGAAACATCAACTATTAGTACCTGATGACTCACTGGTTCAGATTCTTATTGTCCTGAAGAAATTTATTGGTGTTTGTTTACTGCTGATTTTTAAAAACCACACATTTTGTATTTTTTTAGGTGAATAATGATCTCTTTATTGTGTGATAATTTTTGTGACTAAAATGATGATTTCATGTACAGACTGGTCTGGGTGGCTATAAAATATGGTTGCACAATGCATGCCTGGAAACACTACAACACATAATAAAATGTTGATTTTAACACTAGGAGATGAGTCTGAAGACCTGGCTCCCGTTTTAATGACGCAATGAAAATAGGCAGAGTCCCGTCCTGAAGAAAATAATATAATGAACAAGACTTCCTGAATGCTTTGCTGAATGCACAGAGAGAAAGCATTAAGCCTGCATTTCAGTCCACCGCTGGTGTGGTTGAATGAAAATTTTCACATTCAAACATTGAAGTATTGKTGTGTTTTCTATCTGATTATGGACACATAATGAGGTAAACAAACACATTTCTTTTTTTTCAGTCCATCTCATCGTTTATGGTTTATTGTCTGTTAGCAAAATCTGGTTTTTTTTTTCATGGAATGTTAAATCTCAGGTATTTGGTTAAACTTATTATGTTTTGTTTCATACTTTTTATACTGGTCAAAACCTTTGCATGTGACCGACCTGTTTGTCCGCCATGTAGAGGTGGAGCTTATAAGGCTTAGTTCACCTGAAACTCCTCAGACAGAGGAAGTTTCTTGGGGGAGAGACGAAACGTTTCATTAAAGAAGAACCCATCCAGATGACCTACTTATTTTTGATTTTTCTACCTGGATTACTGCATCAGGATGTTGTTTATACAGAACACACACTGATAAGACACACACCGACTCTCAATCTGTTTAAACTTAAGGCTGCAATGATCAGAAAGTATAAAAATACACAGCTGCGTCTAACAATCAGTTGATCATTTACAACATTTCCTTCAGTAAAATTCACATTTGTTATTGTCCTGATTTCTAACTTCATCAGAATTGGTGCTGTGCAGTATATAAGATTAACTGATGTAGGTTAGATACACAATTTCATAAAGAAACTGAGACTTACAGTTTGAACCTTGTGGACTCCTTCAGTCCCTGACTGTCTCACCTGAGAGGTTTTTCCTCAGAGCTTCATTCTCCTTCTTGGTTTGGACCGACATCGTAGCTGATTAAAGAGAAGACTGCAGTTATTTATGAGCAGAATTTAAAATCCACCAGTAGAATAAATCTAAATGAACTCACAGAGTGTGATAATGATGAGAGCAGCAGCCAGCAGAACACAGAGAACCAGCAGGACCACTGTCCCTAATGGAAGCTTTGAGTTCCTCTTTGGTTTTTCTGCAGCTTCACCTGAGGAGCATTTAGAGGAGAATCACATCAAGAGCTGGAGCCAGACTCCCAGCATCCAACCAACATCCAACCAACAATCATCCAACCATCATTCAACCATCATCCAGCCATCATCCAACCATCAACCAACCATCATCCAAACAGCATCCAACCATCATTCAACCATCACCCAGCCAGCATCCAACAATCATCCATTCAGCATCCAACCATCATCCAGCCAGCATCCAACCACCATCCAACCATCACCCAGCCATCATCCAACCGTCATCCAGCCAGCATCCAAACATCATCCAACCATCCTCTTGCCATCACCCAACCATCATCATCCATCATCCAGCCATAGTTTTCCAATGCAGTTTTTTTTACTGCAAATGGAAATAAACTTGAACTTGAACCATCACCCAGCCAGCATCCAACCATCATCCGACCAGCATCCAGCCATCATCCAACCATCATCCAAATATTATCCAGCCATCATCCAGCCCTTATCCTACATCATCCAGCCATCATCCAACCATCATCCAAACATCATCCAGCCATCATCCAACCATCATCCAAACATTATCTAGCCATAATCCAGCCTTCATCCAAAAATTATCTAGCCATCATCCAGCCTTCATCCAACCATCATCCAAATGTTATCCATCCATCATCCAACCATCATTCAGCCATCATCCAACCATTATCCAGCCATCATCCATCCAACATTCATCATCCAGCCACCATCTACTCATCATCCATCATCCAGCCATAGTTTTCCAATGTAGTTTTTTTTACTGCAAATGGCAATGAACTTGAACCATCACCCAGCCAGCATCCAACGTCATCCATCCAGCATCCAACCATCATCCAGCCAGCATCCAACATTCATCCAACCATCATCCAGCCAGCATCCAACCACCATCTTGCCATCATCCAACCATCATTCAAATATTATCCAGCCATCATCCAGCCATCATAAAACCATCATCCAGCCATCATCCGACCATCATCCAGCCTTCATCCAAATATTATCCAGCCATCATCCAACATCATCCAGCCATCATCCAACCATCATTCAGCCATCATCTACCCWTCATCTAACCATTATCCAGCCATCATCCAACCATCATCCATCCATCATCCAACCACTATCCAGCCATCATCCAACCATCATCCAAACATCCAGCCATCATCAAGCCATCATCCAACATCATCAGCCATCATCCAACCATTATCCAGCCAGCATTCAACCATCATCCAGCCATCATCCAACACATCTATCCTTCATCCAACAATCATCCAACCATCATCCTGCCATCATCCAACCATCATCCATCCATCATCCAACCATTATCCAGCCATCATCCAACCATCATCCAAACATCCAGCCATCATCAAACCATCATCCAGCCATCATCCAACTGTCATCCATCCAGCATCCAACCATCATTCAACCATCATCCAGCCAGCATCCAATCATCATTCAGCCATCATCTACCCATCATCCAGCCATCATCAAATCATCATCCAGMCATCATCCAACCGTTATTCAGCCAGCATTCAGCCAGCATCCAACCATCATCCAACATCATTTATCCTTCATCCAACCATCATCCAACCATCGTCTAACCATCATCCAACCATCATCCAACCATCATAAATCATCATCCAACCATAGTTTTCCAATGTAGTTTTTTTACTACAAATGGCAATAAACTTGAACATCCAGGCATCATCCAACCAACATCCAGGCATCATCCAACATCATCCAACTATCATCCAACCATCATCCAGCCATCATCCATCATCCAATCATCATCCATCCATCATCCAGCCATAGTTTTCCAATGTAGTTTTTTTACTACAAATGGCAATAAACTTGAACTTGAACCATCACCCAGCCAGCATCCAACCATCATCCAACCATCGTCCAGCCATCATCCAACCTTCATCCAGCCAGCATCCAACCATCATCTATCCTTCATCCAACCATTATCCAACATCATCCAGGCATCATCCAACATCATCCAGCCATCATCCAACCATCATCCAGCCATCATCCAACCATCATCCAATCATCATCCAACCATCATCCAACCATCATCCAGCCATCATCCAATAATCATCCACCCATCATCCAACCATCATCCAGCCATCATCCAACCATCATCCAACCATCATCCAGCCATCATCCAACCATCAACCAGCCATCATCCAGCCATCATCCAACCATCATCCAGCCATCATCTAACCATCAACCAGCCATCATCCAACTATCATCCAACCATCATCCTTGATGTGGAAATCATAAAAACTATTAATAATGATATTAACAAGATTATCATTATTATTATTTTACAATTATATAATATATTTAATGTTTTTAAAAAGTATCAGAAAAGCTGTTTGTGTTAAGGATTAATTAACAGAAGGTAAACAGTAAAACATTTCATTTCACAACACAAATGAGCAGATTTTATCTTATTTAGCTCAATGGGATCTGAGCAGAACTGAAGCTAATAATTTAACAGTTGAAAATTAAAATAAGCTTATAAAGTTGATGTAATCTGTTATTTATTGAACTGGTTAGCAGAAAGTACTTTGTGGTGCATATACAGAGTGTAGCTCTGCTGAATCATGCTAAAATAAAACATAAACTGTTAAATATTACAGCTAATTTGTCTTTGATTAATATTTTGACCTACAGAGTGTAAAATAATATTATAAATGTCTGATTAATATTTAGACCTACAGAGTGTAAAATAATATTATAAATGTGAGTATTTTTAGGTTTCTGTTAGAGGAACCTGAACTGTTGAGAAGATGGTTAGCTATTTGAGACAAGTTTCATCCTATAACCAGAGAACATTTTCAAAGTTTCTGGTAAAATATTTATTTATATTATTTTTTCTGACAGTAAGAAGAAATAATAAATATACTTTATTACTAGCTGAAGTCATCATTTTTCAACTAGCTAAAAAGTCTAAGTTACAGCTCAGGGGTTGTATGTATAAAGCTTGCGTATGCTCAAAATGAGCCCAGAAACTTGTGTACGCCACTTTTCACGCAAAGGTTGTGATTTATAAAAACCCTCACACCAGCTCATACCCATGCGTACGTTCATTTTGGAGATAGGAAACTGTGACACAGATGGTGAAGTGAGGAATTATAGTCACTGATCACTGTCAGATATTTAATTTCACTTCATAATCAGACATGGATTTTTATTCAACTTTATCTTTTAACAGTATTATTTATGCTTCTGCTGCTGAGCCATAAGAACATCTGAAATAAAAAACTTAAATCCTAAATAAAAGTTCACAAAACTCCATTCATCTGCTTCCTCTTCAGACGATCCTGACCCACAGACCCCTCCCCGACAAGAGACATTTCAACAGCACGACAGCAAAAGTCAGTGTACTCGCAGGGCACGCCCCTCGCCAGTGTGGATGTTATAAAAGTTCACTTTTTAATGTCCGTATTCCTCATGCATGCTGGGCTGTGGGGATGTGAGGGGGTGAGGAGACGATCAGCTGCAGAAAATAGAGCAGACAGCAGGGGGAGGACGGGGAAGAAGAGTGGTGGACTTATTTCTAATTTTATCTGACTCATTTAATTTTATTTATTGTTTTTATCGTCCTGCAGGCTCTGAGAGAAAATTAGTTTGAAGCTGAGTTTTTGAAAAATATCGTTAGATTGCTCTAAACGTCTGTAAACCTGCAAAATGAGGGAAAATCTGTGTCAATTACAGACATTCTGTTCACGTGAGCAGCTGTCAGTCAGCACCTGTCATCCTCCAGACGCACGGCGGAGCGTGTCTGAACCAATCACTGATCAGCTGACTGATTTAAATACACCTTAACATTCATGAGGTACTTTGCATTGACTGTTTATGGTTGAGTGTGGGCGTGTAGAGGGAAGAACTTGAGGCGGGAACTTGTGCGCAAACTCTGAGGTGCGGCTGTGATTTATAAAGGAAAGATGCAGAACAATATAATTGGGGTTGTGCTACTTGATTTCTCAGCTGCGTTTGACATTATTGATCATAAGATTTTGTTGAAAAAACTTGAATCCTATGGCTTTGTAGAATCACCATTACAGTTTATCAGTAGTTATCTGTGTGACAGGAAACAATTAGTTTATTATAATGGCTGTTATTCAGACAACTGTAAAACATGGAGAGCCACAAGGCAGTTGTCTTGGCCCAATTCTATATACAATGTTTACTAATGACTTACCATCAGTCCTAAACAAAGCAGGTATTTCAATGTTTGCTGATGATACTACAGTATACTGTATCTAGCAACAAAGTCTATTAGCAAAATTAAAACTGACCTTGAACGAGAGCTTGAAACTATGGTTGACTGGGTGGAGAGTAACAAACTTATTTTAAATGTTTCTAAACCCTCGAGCATTGTCATTGGCACACATCATTCTCTAAGAGCCAAACCCCAATTAGATCTTTGCATAAAGAATGTATCTGTTAAACAAGTGGAGGAGGTAAAGCTCTTAGGAAGTCTTATAGACAGTAAACTCTCCTGGGATAAACATATTCAGAAAGTGGTCTCTAAAATGGGCAGTAGTTTTTCTGTTGGCAAAAGTTGTTCAGAATATTTAATTAGACAAACAATTCCATATGTCATTCAAACTTTAGTAGTGTCTCCTTTGGATTATTGCTCTGTTGTTTGGTCCAGTACAGCATGTGTGACTCTAAATTGTGGTATTAGAACAAATGYTATTAAAATGCATAAACAGCTTTCCTGGTTATGGGTGAAGGATAGAGGGTTGTATGTACTAATGAACTTTCTAAATATTATTAGAGAAAAATCACCATCTATGTTTTACCAAAAACTATTATTTAGTAAAAATACCCATGATCACTCAACAAGATATGCAGTTGAACTATGTTTCACTCTACCAAAATGTAGAACTAGTTTAAGCCAACGCACAGCGATGTTTAGAGTAATTTATGAATGGAACTCACTACCACATATCAAACAAAGTACTGCTTACAGCTT